AAGAGCTACACTCCCCGGCAACGGCGCCAGAAAAGAGTCTTGATGACCCACAAGTGTAGGGGGTCTATCGTAGTCCTTTCTATAAGTAAGAGTGTCGAACCCAACGAGGAGCAGAAGGAAATGATAAGCGGTTTTCAGTAAGGTTTTCTCTGCAAGCATTGAAATTGTAGGTAATAGATAGTTTTGTGATAAGATAAATAGTAACGAGCAAAAAGTAAATAAAGTAAATAAAGTGCAGCAAGGTGGTCCAATCCTTTATGTAGCAAAGGATAAGCCTGGACAAATTCTAATAATGAAGAAGGAGCTCTCGAGGACACATTGGGAATTATCGTCAAGCTAGTTTTCATCACGTTCATAAGATTCGCGTTCGGTACTTTGATAATTTGATATGTGGGTGGACCGGTACTTGGGTACTGACCTAACTTGGACAAGCACCCCACTTATGATTAACCCCTATTGCAAGCATCCGCAACTACAAAAAGGAGTATTAAGGTAAACCTAACCACAGCATTAAACATATGGGTCCATATCAACCCCTAACGAAGCAACGCATAAACTAGGGTTTAAGCTTCTGTCACTCTAGCAACCCATCATCTACTTATTACTTCCCCATGCCTTCCCCTAGGCCCAAATAATGGTGAAGTGTCATGTAGTCGACGTTCACATAACACCACTAGAGGAAAGACAACATACATCTCATCAAAATATCGAACGAATACCAAATTCACAGGACTACTAATAGCAAGACTTCACCCATGTCCTCAGGAACAAACATAACTACTCACAAAGCATATTCATGTTCATAATCAGAGGAGTAATAATATGCATAAAGGATCTGAACATATGATCTTGCACCAAGTAAACCAATTAGCATCAACTACAAGGAGTAATCAACACAACTAGCAACCCACATGTACCAATTTGTGGTTTTATACAAGATTGGATACAAGAGATGAACTAGGGTTTTGAGAGGAGATGGTGCTGGTGAAGATGTTGATGGATATTGACCCCCTCCCGATGAGAGGATCGTTGGTGATGACGTTGGTGATGATTTCCCCCTCCCGGAGGGAAGTGTCCTCGGCAGAACAGCTCCGCTAGAGCCCTAGATTTATTCCGCCAAGGTTTCGCCTCATGGCGGCGGAGTTTCGTCCCGTAAGCTTGCCCACGATTTTTTCCAGGGTAAAAGTGATGATATAGCAGAAGATGGACGCCGGAGGCCCACCAGGGGGCCCAGGAGATAGGGGGCCGCACCCTATAGGGGGGGTGTCCCCTGTCTCCTGGACAGGGTGTGGACCCCTGGCCTATTTCTTTCGCTCATAAATTCTTATTAAATTCAAAAAGTTGTTTCGTGGAGTTTCAGGACTTTTTGAGTTGTGCAGAATAGGTTTCCAACGTTTGCTCCTTTTCCAGCCAGAATTCCAGCTGCCGGCATCCCCCCTCTTCATGGTAAACCTTGTAAAATAAGAGATAATAGCCATAAGTATTGAGATATAATGTGTAATAACAGCTCATAATGCAATAAATATTGATATAAAAGTATGATGCAAAATGGACGTATCAGTGGGCTGTCAGCTGGTTTCGGCTGCGTCCAATGAGGCCCTTATGCCCCCCTTCGGGGAGGAAGAGGTCCACGCCACGATTAAGGGCATGAACCCTTCCTCCGCTCCGGGTCCAGATGGCCTGTCGGTGAAATTCTTCTGATCCTTCTGGCATGCTATCAAGCCCAAGGTTGTGGCGCTCTTCAACGAGTTCTATGTGGGATCCATGGACCTAGGTCGCCTCAACTATGGGATTATCACTCTAATCCCTAGGTCCCGGGTGCCTAGGATATCCGCCAGTTCCGTCCTATCACGGTGATTACTGTGATATTTCGGATTCTTGCGAAAGGGTACGCCAATAGGGTGACCCTGCTCGCTAACTCCATAACCCACCCCAACCAATCCGCCTTCATCCAAGGCTGGTTCATCCTCGATGGGGGGTTGGTGTTCCACGAGGTCCTGCATGAAGTCCACACAAAGCGCCAGTGTGCGGTTTTCCTGAAGCTGGACTTCCATAAAGCTTATTACACGGTTTGGTGGTCATTCCTTCGTGAAGTCCTCCTCCGCAAGGGCTTCGACTATCGGTGGGTCACCCGCGTCATGCAACTTGTTTCGTGCGGTTAGACCGCAATAAACATCAATGACAAGATTGGACCCTACTTTCCCACCCTGTGTGGGGTGCGCCAGGGCGACCCCCTTCTCCCCGTTTCTCTTCAACATGGTGGTTGATTCCCTGGCAGCTATCCTCGATAAGGCCAAGGCTGCTGGCCATATCCGTGGGGTGGTACCCCATCTGGTGGGAGGGGAGGGGTCTCCCTCCTTCAGTACGCGGATGACACCATCATCATGATCGAGGGTTCGGAGTCTAACATCGCCAACCTTAATTTCCTCCTCCTCTGCTTCCAGCAGATGTCGGGCCTCACGGTCAACTTCGATAAGAGCGAGGTGATGATCCTTGGCTACTCCAAGGAGGAGTGCCAAGGGATGGCCGATCGTCTTAACTGTAGATTGGGCTCCTTCCCCACCACTTATTTGGGGATTCCCATCAGCGATACCAGGCTCACGGTGGCGGACCTACGGCTGGCCGTAACCCACCTGCAGCACCGGGTAGAACCTTGGAGGGGCAGGTGGCTATCCAAGGCCGCCCAGGTGATTCTCATCAACTCCTCCCTCTCCAGCCTCCTCTGGTTCCTGATGAACTTCTATAGCTTACATGAGACTTTGCATCAGGAGATTGCCAAATACCAGTCCAAATTCTTCTGGGTGGGAGAGGGGGACAAGCAGAAATACCACATGGTTAGCTGGCCAGACATCTGCAAACCCAAAGACCAGGGAGGTCTTGGGATCATGGCTTCTAGGCGCATGAATATTGCTCTCCTGACATGCTGGTTGTGGCGGATTGCCAATGGTGAGGGCGGCCTGTGGTTGGACATCATTCGCGCCAAATACCTTCGGGGCCAGCCCCTTACCTTCTGCCAGCGCTCGGGAGGATCCCAGTTCTGGCAAGCCTTGGTCCAACTCATGCCAGTCCTCCGCATCGGCACGTCCATTTTTGTGGGATCTGGTGCATCGACTCTGTTTTGGTTCGACCGTTGGGTTGGCGACCTACCTCTTGCCGCCCGCTTCCCTGAGCTTTTCGCCATCACGGCCGACCCTCGGGTTTCTGTGGAGGTGGCCCTTATTGACTTAGGGCGCCTCATGTTCCGTTGACCTTTTGGCCCCCTTGAGGTCGCCGCTTGGGATGCTCTTCTTCAGGTCATTGCCCTTCAGCCTCTCAACGTGGACAACGCTGAGGACTCCCTCTCGTGGCCACTAGAGACTTCAGGCCGCTTCTCGACCAAGTCCCTCTATCAAGCGATTGCCCCATCTACGGCTCTAGAGCCGTTTAGTTTGATATGGGATATCCGCCTCCCATTGAAGATCGGGGTCTTTCTCTGGCAGTGGATTCATAGTCACTTGCCCTCTGGTGTTGAGGTGCGCAAGCGCAACGGCCCTGGCGACGGCCTGTGCCCCCTCTGTGGCGTAGCTGAAGATGCTACCACATCTTCTTCTCTTGCGTGACCGCCCAGTTCCTTTGGTCCTGCTTCCGCGACGTGGTTGGCGGAACTTGGTGCAACACCAACTTCCGCAACTTGCTGGCGGAGATTCAGGCCTCTGCCTCCCATCACCACCACATTAGGTGGCTATGTGTTGGGTTGCTAGCCTGGACGCTCTGGACCGTGCACAATAGGCTTGTCATCCAGCGTTCTCCTCTTCATCGTGCGACTGATGCCATTTTAAAATGTGTGGTTTCTTGCAGCTATGGCAGCCGCTTAGCCGCATCCAGGATCGGAACGCCATCAACACTCTCATCTCCGACCTTCGAGAGATGGCCTTCCGTGTGACGCCTCCGCTTCCGTCGCCTCCTCCAGAGCCAGATTAGGCTCCGGTGCGCCGGTGTGCCGACCTCTTTTTTCTTTCCTTCTTTGGGCTTGTTGAGCTGTTCCCTCAGCATTAACCTTGGTACCTTGTGTCGTGCTTGTGTGTGTGTGTGTGTGTTGGACCTCCACGCCTTGGCCGTGTTGTGGCTGAACTCGTTTGCTTGTGTGTGGCTTGGGCGGTTTACTTTATATATAAAGTGGGGCGAAAGCCTCTTTTGGTAATACAATCGAAAATGCTTAGTTTTTTCAATAATTTTATTGACTCAAAATGAATCATCAAGGGGACAAACATAATGAGCATACAGCTCGCCTCGATACATACAACCAACATCATCAAGGGGACACAAAGAATCACATCAGTAAAGAGCAAAGTCATACAAGACCAAAACTCTGCCTAGGCGGAAGAAAAAGAAAAAGAAAACTCCAAAGCGCCACCAACGCGCACACACAAAGAATCACGCTGACAAAGAGCAAAGTCATATAAGACCGAAACTCTGCCTAGGTGGAGGAAAAAGAAACTCTAAAGCGATCAAAAGTCAAAACAGCGACCAACAAACTACAAAGAAAACAAGAAATTCAGTAGCAACGCCTCCAGGAAGCGAACTACGCCCAAGAGCCGCCATCACCGGATGACAGGATCCAACCATTAAAAGTAAAATCCTGGGTTTTTTCCCTGAAGATAAAGTACAAGCAATGCCTTCAGCAAGGTAATTATGCGGAAAAAACTGTCATTGCCAAAAACGATCCATTATGTGTAGTTGTGAATTCTGATGATTTAGTGCAATGTTATAAGTCAATACAAAGATGATAGTATCATCTTGAAGTGTAGGCGTCCTATTGACACAAGATTACTTTGCACAGAGTGGCCATGAGCCATGAGGAGCAATCACTAGACAGTCACACACTTATATACTGTGTAATCCGCAGGTCCTTTTCTGCAGGTACTACAAAGCTTCGGCAGGGATGGGCACTGTTTTTCAAGTTCAGCAGAGTTTTAGCTGCACATATTTATCCCGGCGAAGAACAGGGCTAACCTCAGTAACTAAGGGTGTTGAATATCTTGCTCGATGTGAGAGATCTCCTCGTCGTCATCAACAGTGACCACAGTCAGCGCCTCGTCCAGGGAGGACGCCGACACAGTCCTCGACAGCGTGCACACCGTGTTAGTCTCGTGGTCAGTCTCGTAGATGGTCGTGTCGAGGGAGCAGACCGACCTCGACGTGAGTGTCCCGTTCCGCATGAAGAGCGGGTTGTGCCTCCTGTCTTTGATCCTCTTGCACCAGCTGTGGAGGGAGTCCCTCACGCTCTCGGAGACCAGTGACTTCTTGAACTTGGAACCCATCTGCAAATTTCAGCAAAGAAACAAGATAATAAGTGAAAAGGAGACCAGCCGCGACATATTACCTTCTTACCTTGTCTACTAAGTACAAACTGCATAAAGAGGATATACTAAAAAAAGCTTCATAATCAATGAAGGAAAAAAATGGCCTACCGAGAAAAGTAAAGGATCAATTAGATTCTCATCTCCTATTTGTTTGAGCCATTCATTATAGTGGTGGTGCCGGGAAGGCAGCTTAGCACTCTAGTCCTTTTGAGTAAGGAATTGTAAAGGAAAAATTAGCTAGCTCAGCAGGTTTGGACCCGGGTGAATCAGTTCAGTGAAGGAAGGGAGCCTAAACTTAAGGCTTTTCCAAGCCTTGCCGATAGGCGCCTCATGGCTCGCTCAGTTCGCTCGCGGAGTTCTTAGATCAGTAGATCTGGATAGAGTCTCGCTCATAAAGGAAGAGTAGCGCGCTAGCGCGGCTCGCTTCGCTTTTCGACGCGGAGCTCGCTGCTGTCTTTTTAAAGAAGAATAGTGCTCTTTATAAATAAGAGTAAGCGTGGAGAGCTTTTTGCGGGGAAACAGTAAATAATTCTGGTGAAATAAGTGAAGAGTTCACTAAGTGGCTCTCTTGGTTCAAATTAGGTTTTATCATTCAAGAAATACCTGGGAGATAATCACGTTAAGAGGCAGTGTACTGTAGCTGCACCAAACTTGAACAAGCAGCCTGCAGTGCTCAAGGGAAGAAAAACAGCTGTATGAGTCCAAAGTCCGGGCAAATGCACTTCTTGAAGTGTTTAATTCATATGATGGCGGGATTTTCCACTAGTCTACTACCAAAAATCTAACTTAATGCAGTTCATGCATATAATTATATCTCCACAATACAGTTTCTGTAAATACATGTGATTCTTAAAGTAAATTGTCATAGACACACTGATGTAAATAATTGATATGTTGCAGGTTTCTCAAAATAACATGTCAAATGAACATATTGAGATGCCAACATCACTCGTAACTCACAACGTATTCATGGTACGCAACTTACCCAGAAGCCAAGCGAATAACAACCATGTACTGGTTCTTCATGAAGCAAGAATTTGCACTCAGTTCCCACTGCACAAGATGCATGCAAAGTAGTAAACAACCAAAAAGAAGCTATAAATATATCCATTATATCCATTGGATTTGTCATATATAAAGTGACGAGTCATGATAGGTGATGCTGGCCTAGAAAGTTTTGCAACCACCATGCATTTAGCACTAATAGCTTAAGCCATGCCACAGAATAAAAAAGATGTCATGAACCAGCATTTCTTTGCATCTCCTACACTAAAGCATGTTAATCCAACACAACATATAACTAATCACATATTAAGGTGATCCTCACCAGAGACCATAAGAATGTCGCCATCTCAAAGGCATTCTGGAAGCAAGGGTAGATGTTAGGATGTTGAAGATGTTCAAAGCATCACAACACAACATCATCTACATAGTAAGAGAGTCAGAGACATTACCTGGAACGAGATGAACTGTATAAGCCACCACAGAACCCGAGGTTTTCCAAACCAGAAGAGATCATCCCGCAGTTTCAGTTGTGTTCCAACATTTGTGGCTGTTGCCTCAACAACCTCCAGTGCCAACTGAGCGACAACATGCTGCAGCTCAGTGCCCACAAGCAGGACGATCTTTGAACATTTTGAAGATGCGTAATTAGGCCAGGACATAAATACCATTTTCAGATAAGAAAGGGAAAAACAATTAACTGCGACTAGCGCGTTGGTTCAGAAATATGGGTGATACTTTTTTCTTTGAGTTGGGGTGATACTTACAATGACAGGGGCAAATGATAGCCAGAAATATATATTAAGACCTGCAATTAGTGAAACGTGGCAAACCTAATGAGGACTAAAAATGGACAACCAGATCTCTATGTTTGTGTGAGAAAGTAATAAGGAGGTAATACCATGAACATTGACAAAGATGCATATTATTGCATAAGCCCAAAGTGGCCAACTGTACAGCAAATGGAATGTTAGCACACACAAGAGAGAGCATAATATATTTATAAATCCTATGCAAACCACAAGCAAGTAGGAGTATCATGTTATAATCAAAATCCAATAAGGATAAATGCTAGGATTTCTTCATCAGATAAGTTTGTTCGATCTTGATGTGTAACCGCTTATATCATCAAAGAAAAACAAATAATCTCATTGTCAGGACTCAGGATTAAGCAGTGCATGTTCTGTTTTACCTGATACCAACACTTCCATTGTAATCATCTTCCATGCTCCGTACCATGTATTTGTGGAAGTCGTACGAATGCGGCAACTTATGATACTGATATAAAGAAAATTGATAAGCAATAAAAATGCATTGAAGAAATGACTTATCACCAAGATTCTAGTAGACGAGATCAAATAGAGCGATGAAGAGCACTTACTGTGATAAAGCCCAACCTTAATGCCATGTAATCTGATTTTTTAATAGAACCCTTAAATTGGCGCAGAAAGCACAACTGCAACATTTGGTTACTAGAGCATATTAGAAATGTCAAAAAAAAATATTTCCGATCACAAAAGACATCAAGTAAGGTATGTGCCGCAAAGCTTTTGCGTGTTGAGAAAATCGACAAGTCGTCACAGAGAGCAGGAGTACTTGGGTACATATGGTATATTGTCTATTTAAATAGCTGCAATAGATGCAATTCATGTGCACTTGTAGTCCAATAATATTATTGGAGTTTGTTCAATATATATAAGTAAATATGAAAAAGTCTAAATTAACTGGCAAATAAAACATGAAAGTTATAACCATTAAGTCATTACTAACTAAGAGACTCACAAGGAAAATATGCAATAAGAATCAGTGCAACCACAACGCTGTTCTTGAAGCAATGCAGCGAACTTACCATCCAAAGAAGTATTTTACTTTTGCTCCATGGGTGAGATGCATGATGAAAAACAAAGGTAGATTGCCTTCGCATAACCTTTCTCCTAGCTGAGAGGGAAAAACTTCTCAGGTAGAACAAAACATCATTATTAAGCGAATGTATGACTAGTACTACTATATGACCTAACGAGCATCCAATTTCACTTGACCTTACGTTGCAACTGCTCCCTTGAGAGTGTAGATGCTTGAGTTTCCCACTTCCTCCAGCTATATATCTGTAACAATCACCAAAAGAAACACATTAGACACTTAGAGACCGTGTTGCTAGATCAGATACTCAGATCAATAACAAATAAGGAAGACAAACCTTAATCATCGACAGAACCACTGTCACGAAACTGTAAAGCACATGAGTAAAACCAAGAATAAACAGAAAGCGATGCAGCTGCTCAAGACCCTCATATGAAACAAAAGGTTCGTGACCCTGCAAGCAGAGAAAGCGACAACAAGATGATTTATCTCATATGAAACAAAAGGTTTGATGGGAGCTAGTTGATTCTGACATTTACCTCATCGCAAACATGCATCGACTGGCCGCCAACTAGGATTCTAGCAATGTGGGTATCGTTAGCGGAGTCCCCATGTTGGTCCAGATCGGCGAAATCCTCCTCTGTGCACATATAGAATTTGCTGGTGAAGAGTGTCGATGGCACGCAGATCTCCGATATCCACCTGGCCGTCTGGCTCAGCAGCAGCGATATCACGCCGAGCAGCATCAGTTCTGCAAGTAAGACATAGTTCCCTCTTTGAGGCAAAAATCCAAACACCTTCCAAGCAAGAACAATAGTGGCAAAAGAGAAGTCCCTTTGTACCAAAAATAATGGAGAGCACTCTAAGATAAAAGAACAAAAACTGAGATTTGACACTACTGAAAGATAAAAGAATGGTGGATACCATCCCAAAACAGATACACACAGACCAATAGAAGACCTTGACACTTATAAGTAAAAGTGATGAAACTACAAATCGTGACGACCTTGGAGGTAACATGGTCATTTGTAAACCACGCTAAATGTAATGGCAGTCCTAAATAAACAGTAAAAACAGCGTTAAGATTAACGGCTTAAAAATAGTCAAACTCAGGGAGGCGGCAATTTCCAGAGTTTCTATCGTGGGGTGCCACCTTCGCGGATCTTCTCGAGTGCGGCGAGCATGGCCTTCCGCTTCGTCTTCCGCAGCCACTGCGCATCAACCAATGAGAAGATCAGCTACGCGGTAGCTTCCACCAGCTAAGCAGGCTGCCGGACGAAGGTTACCTTGGCGAGGCGTGAGAGCGAGCGCTCGATGAGGAAGCATGCGGCGACCATGAGCGTGGTGACCGTGGCCACGGACCACGTCGGCGTCTCCGCCAGCGACCTCCCCTCCTCCGCCATCCGCCTCCACCACTCTTCCTTCTGTTCGCCTGCCGCGATGTGCAGCTAGCTCCGACGCCTCCACCGCATTGACAAGGGGGAGGCGGCGGCACCGGAAGAGGGAGTAGTTAATGCGGATCGAGGGAGGAGGAGGTGGGCGCGGTCGGCGCCGGATCGGAGGAAGCAGCACGTGAAGGGCCGAACCCAGAATCTGGAAATGGAGCTGCTAAGTTTGACTTCAAGAATACATGAAACTGGAATGGCCGAACTCGGTAAAAACTGCCCAACCTTTTGCTCGGATTGGCATTAAACTGAATGAGCTGCCTCTGCTCAGTTCAGTACGAGCTGGATTGGGTAGGAGCAGGTACTGATTGAAGAATTGCTTTCGGGTTTAACGAATTTGGGGGGTTAGCTAGAGCTAATAGCTGGTGGTGAGTGAATGAGCAAGGTACTACTACAGTACAGGACTGAAGGGTGGTCAAGCAGTGGCACATGGGCAGCACGCTGATATGTTGTTTGTCTTAATGGCTTCTAGAAGATTAGCAATATTGTTGATACAACGAAGTTGGGGAGATGAGGCAGCTCAAACGCGGATCACCAAATCGACCGAAAATATTTAGACATGATGCTTTCGTCTAAAATGAACATTCGAAATTCGAGAAATTGGTATCGTACTAAGGGAAGGTGTCATGTCTGACATTCTGGACCCACTCAAAATCGAGCTGAAGCCCGCACATCCTCACAATTCTACTGCTTCTCCTACGCGAAAGCCCACCCTCCTGTTGGCTTTATCCAAGTTCACCGTCATTTCGACGTCCATCGCTGTGATGGTCGAAGGAGCCAAAGACAATGTTCGTCGCCCCGCAGGACTCGAAAGAGGCGGAGGTAGCCCGCAAGGTCGCGTCCACACAACGCCAAGGCCCACATGTCATGGCGAAGGTAGTGTCTGTTCGCGGCTTTAACTAGTCACCCAAAGCGCACCACTAGGCCAGTGTCGCCCGGTCAATCACAGCCTTGACCCGTCCAGCTGAAGCCGCCCTACTACTAGGTCGCCCAACACCTCCATACGCCCGGCGCGCAGCAATCATCACAGCAGTCCACAGCCGCTTTCACCTTCAAGCATCGAGTGTCGTTCACCGTCGACCTTAGCAACTACTATTTCTTCACGAAGTAGCCGACACTTGATTGGTCGTTGATCCCCGCTATATAGTTCTCCTCTTTTGGTGCCTGGTTATTGCTTGCATAAATGCCTCAACCAAGCGAAACGTCGGCAAATGATGAGGCATGATGAACACTATCCACGACAGAGGCATATATAAAGACAGACAAGTGGATGACTCCTAGCCGGACACCCAGCTGGCAGACACCTAGCAGGTGCACACCAAGAAGCCATACTTTGAGAGAATCGCCTACTCGAACAAGGAGGATGAGTTAATCTGTGAGGCATAGTTGACCACTAGTGTGGATCCATTTCATGGCACGGAGCAAAAGGCCACGCCGTTTTGGCAAAGTGTGCACGATTGATTTCATGAGCAAAAGTGATACGATCCTTACCGTGGGAAGTGATCCATGATTCAATACAAAGCCGCTAGCCCATTGATGGTACGCCATTCAAGAGGATGTAAACAAGTTTTGCAGCTCGTACAAACAAGTGGAAAACCGATGGCCAAGTGGTGCCTCACTCCTTGAGCTCGTAAGTTTTGTAGCTTGTTGATCTATGTGTTGGTCATTTGATTGATTTTATCAATGTTGCAACTTGTTGACCATTTCATTGTCTTCATTTACTAGTCCGCACGCGTGTGCACATTGTACCACAAGACGGAGAAGAAACACTTTATATTTATGCATTATTCGGTGAAGTTGAGTGGGCAAATCAAGTGGTGGCTCATCTTCATTGCCAATTCCCTCAATACCTCCATGTTCAATGAAGATAAAGTTGATGATCCAACAAAGGTAGGGCTTGCTCTAACCATCCATGTGCCTACGAACCAGGGAAGCAAGTAAGAGGTGGAGAAGGAGAAGCGAGAAGGGGTGTCGAAGAGGCACGTGCCAAGCGCTATGAGGTCAAGAAGGAAAAGAAGGCGAAGAGGTTTATCATGTTCATGGACATGCAAAATAAGAAGCTCAAGCTCGAGAAGAAGAAGCTTAATATTAAGGGTACTTTTGAGGAGATCAAGATGTTGTCGTGAAGGCGGTGAATTTGTATTCCGATAAAGCGAAGCATGTGCAAGAGTATTGTGCTACCATATCAAAGCGCTTTGCGCAATTGGTGAAAACGAGGCTACTTTGGCACATACAACCGGACCAGAAGCTTTTGGGATCAATGGTAGTAGAACTTGCTGAACTTCCGATGCTTTTGGTTGTGATTGCATATGTTTACAACTATTTAAATATATGATTAAATTTCTATTGATCTAGATACCATGTCAAAGGGAGGAGACCGGGCAAGGGGTGGACATATGGTGCCTACAGTTAAATGCGCATGCTTGCTGTCCACGGATACGTCTGAACGTGTTCACGGTCATTTGGTGATGTCCATTCGATGATCCGCATTGGAGTTTTCCTAAGTACTTCTTTCGACCTGGTTTACCATTTCCTCATATTTTATGCTAAATTCTAATTACAAAATTTCACTAATAAAATTTGAAGTAATATATTTAAGGAAATATGCCCTAGAGGCAATAATAAAGTTGTTATTTATATTTCCTTATATCATGATAAATGTTTATTATTCATGCTAGAATTGTATTAACCAGAAACTTAGTACATGTGTGAATACATAGACAAAACAAAGTGTCCCTAGTATGCCTCTACTTAACTAGCTCGTTAATCAAGGATGGTTATGTTTCCTAACCATAGACATGTCTTGTCATTTGATGAACGGGATCACATCATTAGAGAATGATGTGATGAACAAGACCCATCTATTAGCTTAGCATAATGATCGTTAAGTTTTATTGCTATTGCTTTCTTCATGACTTATACATGTTCCTCCGACTATGAGATTATGCAACTCCCGAATACCGGAGGAACACCTTGTGTGCTATCAAACATCACAATGTAACTTGGTGATTATAAAGATGCTCTACAGGTGTCTCTGAAGGTGTTTGTTGGGTTGGCATAGATTAAGATTAGGATTTGTCACTCCGTGTATCGAAGAGGTATCTCTGGGCCCTCTCGGTAATGCTCATCACTATAAGCCTTGCAAGTAATGTGACTAATGAGTTAGTTAATATGGAATAATGCATTACGGAACGAGTAAAGAGACTTGCCAGTAACGAGATTGAACTAGGTATGAAGATACCGACGATCGAATCTCGGGCAAGTAACATACTGATGACAAAGGGAACAACATATGTTGTTGTGTGTTTTGACCAATAAAGATCTTCGTCGAATATGTAGGAGCCAATATGAGCATCCATGTTCCGCTATTGGTTATTGATCAGAGATTGTCTCGATCATGTCTACATAGTTCTCGAACCCGTAGGGTCCGCATGCTTAGCGTTCGATGACGATTTGTATTATGAGTTATGTGTTTTGGTGACCAAATTTGTTCGGAGTCCCGGATGAGATCATGAACATGACGAGGTGTCTCGAAATGGCCGAGAGGTGAAGATTGATATATTGGAAGTTTACATTCGGAAAGTATCAGATAAGTTTCGGAGTACCGGGAGGTTACCAGAACCCCCCGAGGGACTATTGGGCCTTCATGGGCCCTAGTGGATAGAGGAGGTCGGCGGCTAGGTGGAGGCGCGCGCCCCCAAGCCCAAACCAAATTCGACTAGGGGTGGGGTGCGGCCCCCCTTTCCTTCTTCTCCTCCACCTCTTTCCCCTTCCCCCTTCTTCGGAAAGGAAGGGGGAATCCTACTAGGACTGGGAGTCCTAGTAGGATTCCCCACACTTGGTGCATGCGCCCCTTGGCCGTCCGCCTCCTCCCCTCCTCCTTTATATACGGGGGCAAGGGGGCACCCCAAAGACACAACATTGTCTTAGCCGTGTGTGGTGCCCCCCTCCACCGTTTACTCCTTTGATAGTATCATCGTAGTACTTAGGCGAAGCTCTGCGCGGATCACATCATCAACACCGTCATAACACCGTCGTGCTGACGAAACTCTCCCTTGACCCTCTGCTAGATCAAGAGTTCGAGCGACGTCATCGAGCTGAACATGTGCTGAACTCGGAGGTGTCGACGTTCGGTGCTAGATCGTGAAGACGTTCGACTACATCAACCGCGTTAACATAACGCTTCCGCTTTCGGTCTACGAGGATAGATGGACACACTCTCCCCCTCTCGTTGCTATGCATCTCCTAGATAGATCTTGCGTGATCTTGGGAGGAAAGTAGTTTATCATAGAAATTAGTTCCAGTGATTCCTACACCAATTAGTGAGGAAGCTAATGATGATGATCATGAAACTTCAGATCAAGTTACTACCGATCCTCATAGGTCAACCAGAGTACGGTCCACACCAGAGTGGTATGGTAATCCTATTCTGGAAGTCATGTTACTAGACCATGATGAACCTATGAACTGTGAGGAAGCGATGATGAGCCCAGATTCCGCAAAATGTGTAAGTGCATCTAGTGCCACCCCTAGTTGGTTTTGGAGTATTGACGACAAACCTGGTTGAGGGACTAATGTGCTTGTGAGAATTGCAGGATAACACAGGTAGTAGTCCCTCATTGATTCGTTTTACCTACCAGAGATGACCCCTAAAAATGTGTGAAGACATTGAAGACAATGGTGGTATGTGAAGCTATTCACGTCGAAGACTATGACATGAGAAGACATCGCATGAAGACTATGGAGCACGAAGACTTAGTTGTTTCGTTGTTTCCTTTTCTTCTTTGTTGAGTCATAGGAACCACCGCACTGTTAAGTGGGTCCAAGTGAACAAAGTCAGAGTGACTGAAGTGATGCTCAACCAAATCCTATGTCTTCGAAGACAATGAGAGTAAATCTTATCCAGAGTCAGATGAGTCAACTTTACTTGTAGCCCAAGTCAAGCTGCCGCATGTGTT